CATTTGTTTTAGCATCTCTACGCTGGAGAGCAAGTTTCAGAGTTTCTTCTGACATCCATTTTGACCATTTCCTTCTTTCTTGTCTTCTTAATGACTTTTTGCTTTCAACCACAACTCCTCTAGTCTTTGGTCTTTGGTGTTTAATGTATCAAATGTGTTCTTCAGATGATCTCTAAATTCAGGTGGGATATAGTCAAGGTCATATTTTGGCTCTTGTGGACTTGTTTTCATTTTCTTCAACTTCAGTTTGAATTTGCATATGAGCAATTGATGGTCCGTTCTACAATCTGTCCCAGCCTTGTTCTCACTGATGATATGGAGCTTTTACATCGTCTCTTTCAGCAGATGTGGTAAATTTGATTTCTATGTAGTCCATCTGGTGAGGTCCAGGTGTTTAATCATCTCTTGAATAATCGTCTCTTGTTTAATCTTCTAAAGAAGGTATTTGAAATGAACAAATCATTGACTTTGCAGAATTCTATCATGCATTCTCCAGCATAATTTATATCACCAAGGCCATATTTTCCCACTACTGATCCTCTTTGCTCCCAACCTTTGCATTCCAATCACCTGTAATGATCAATGCATCTTGATTGCATTTTTGATCAAGTTCAGATTGAAGATGTTGGTAGAATTCATCTATTTCATCCTCACAGGCTTTAGTGGCTGGTGTATAAATTTGGTATGTTGTTGTTGTTGTTGTTGTTGAGCGCCATCGAGTCGGTTCCGACCCATAGCGACCCTGTACATGGTTTCTGAGGCTGTAAATCTTTATGGGAGCAGAAAGCCTCATCTTTCTCCCTCGGAGCAGCTGGTAGTTTCGAACTGCTGACCTTAAGGTTCGCAGCCCGATTTGTAAGCACTACGCTACCAGAGGTCCTTGGTATATTCTAATTGTTGTTGTTGTTGTTGTTATGTGCCGTGGAGTCGTTTCCAACTCATATTGGTATATTCTTAGGCACCACCAATTGCCTCCTGGTGGGCGTGACCAGGAAGTTGGCTTCTTTGTTTATTGTTCGTGCAGTTCAAGTCTGAGTGGATTTGGTAGATGTTGGGTGTTGACTTTGCTCTGGTGTATAGCAGATGCTATTGGCTTGTGTCGAGGGTGTATCTGTGGCTTGACTGTAAGGCCACGGTTGCTGTCTTCTGTTGTGTGATGCAAGAAGGAAAACCAAGACACAAAACCCACACTCCAATAAAACCAACCCTAAAATAATTAAATACCCCCCCCCCAAAAAAAAACACCCAGTCAACACAATGGGGCACGCAGAGAATGAAAGTCAATGGTTTTCTTGCCAATAGGCAGTGTGTTCTGCCACCTACTGGCCTCTTGCCTTAACAGCTGCCTGAGAAAGTTCAAAGTAGCCATGGTGGTGGGTTCTAAATGCAGTCCCTTGGGTAAGCAGCTCAGCGCTTAACCATTGTCACCTCCCCCAGCCTTCTTGTCTTAGTCAGTTGTTGTTGTTAAGTGCTGTCGAGTCAGTTCCCATCTGTAGGGACCTTGTATAGGGTTTCTGAGGTGTGGCTGGCGACCTGCTCCTAGAAACCCCTGTGGGGCAGCTCTCCTCGTTCTGTAGGGTCGCTATGTTGGAATCGACTTGATGGTGTTTAATGACCACAGTAACAGCATTTTTCATCAAGATTCTCTGTTCTAGAAAGTGACTTACAAGCTTACGTTTCTCCTCTAGTCCTTCCCTACCCTGATTTGACAACTTAAGCCTTTCAAAATGAGTTCCTGTCAGGCTCTGGGGACTAATCCTTTCAAAATTCAGAAAGGACTGGATAAGGCATAACACCCCGCTGTTAATCCATTCATGTAAGTTTTTGTTTTCCAGTAAATATGAAAGAAAACTTTGAGGCACATGGGGTGCCAAGTGTATATTAAATTTTGGCCCTGGCTTCCCCAGAGAAATCTCCACCTCAGAAGCAAACCAAACTTGTCCAAGAAATCCAGGAATAGATCTGGGCAAATGTTTGGGCACAGAAATGGAGAGCTAAAAGGGGAAAGGAAAGCTTTAGAAGAATGCCTCCTCTGAGTTGTTCAGTTGGGGGGGGGATTGTTGTTGTAAAGTGCCCTCAAATTGGTTCTAACTCATAGCGACCCTGTATAGGGTTTCTGAGGAATGGCAGTTGGGTTTGAACCACCCACCTTGTGGTTCAAACCAACCTGGTGATCCAGTGCTTATCCTGCAGTACCACTCCAGCACAGCTAGGGGGAGCAAGGGACATGTTCATTCTGCTGCTCAAAGACGATAATGTGAAGATTTGGGAATATTGGCCTTCGTGGAATCTGCTCACTGGGGCAGGAAAAAGGAAACACATTCTAGACACACTGGTTGTGCAGCAGTTAAACACTTAGCTGCTACCCAAGAGGTTGGAGGTTTGAACCCTGCCAATAGCTCTGTGGGAGAAAGACCTGTAAAATTTACAGTCTAGAGCACTCTGTGGGGCAGTTCTACTTTGCCACATGGTGTCACTGTGAGTTGCAAACCAATGACAATAAGAAGCCGGAAGTATAAGAGAAAAAAAAATTGAAGTTAAATTTTAAAAAATTTCATAAGACTACTCTGGAAGGAATCACAACAGAGGTTCCTGGACAGAGTGGGAGAAAAATGTGGAATAAAACTCAAAATTCTGTCTCTATAAAAAGGACCAGGCTTACTGATGTAATGGAGACTGGTGGACCCCAGAATTTACAGCCCTCTGACACCCTCAGGCCTGAGCTGGGCTCACCCACGTGGTTCAAGTTTCAGCCCAATAACAGACAGGTCTATAAGGTGAGTGGAGTCCTGGTGTGGCACTGTGGGCTAGTGCACTGGATTGCAAAGTCAGTCTGAACCGAAAGGTCAGCAGTTCAAGCTCACCAGCCACTCCTCAGAAACCCTATACAGGGTCCCTATGGGTAGGAACTGACTCAATGGCACTTAACATCAAATGAGGTTGAGTTCTAACACCAGGAAGGCGTGCATTCCTTAGAACAACCAGCCAATAGGAGATCAAAAGGGCAGCATCTGTGCAGGGATAGAACTCCGAAGGCAAGAAAGGATACGGAAGAATGAGGAGCAGAAATGTGAGCACATGCAGGCAGTGGGGGCTGGCGTGAAGACCATGAATCAAAATGTGTCTGAGTTGTTAACTGGAAAACCAATCTGCGCTATAAACGCTCACCCAAACCACAATGAAAGGTTAAAAGCAAGCTAAGTAAAGAAAAACCCCATTCTTGTATATTGGGAATAACTTGGGATACACCTGGCCTGAATCAACAGGATCATGGAGTTAAAGCGACTTCTAGCCCAAGGGCTGCACTATTAGCTGCTTTTCCTACCTTGGATCGAACGTCCAAGTTCATGCCTCTCTGCACATAGTCCGTTATTAGCACCAACGTCAGCAGGCTGACCCTGGAATCTGGATCCAGAAGGTATTTTCTCAAACACTAAACCATTGAGATGAATGTCTACTGGGTCAGACACAAGGGAAGACCTGGACCAGCCCCACTTCTTGTAACACTGTCCCCTCTATGGGAGGAGGCCACCCTCCTCTAGCCCTTACCTGGTGACAAGTTCTGTTCTCCATGCTCGATGGAGGTCGCTCTCACAGCAATGCAGACAATATTGAGGGGGGTCTTGTTAGTAGAGCCTTTATGGTTAACCACTTGGCAGCTAACCAAAAGGTCAGCCGTTCAAACCCACGGGAGAAAGATAAAGATGAACCCACTGCCATCTGGTAGATTCTGACTCAGAACAACCCTATACAAGAGAGTAGAATTGGCACCATCTATCTACCTTACAGGAGCAGATGGCCTCATCTGTCTCCCGTGGAGATTTGAACTATTGACCTTGAGATTAGCAGTCCAGTGCTTCACCCAGTGTGCCACTATGACTCGTTTTCCTAAAGATTACCCACCCCCGCTGCCATCGAGTTGATTGTGACTCACAGCTATTCTTTATAGGGGTTCCGAGGCTGTACTTCTTTAGGGAAGCTGAAAGCCTCATCTTTCTTCCATGGGGCAGTGACAGCTTGAGTTCCAGCTTCTGACTTGGACTGCTTGCTGCTTCTAGAAACCTCTGGCCTGCCACTCACACAGATCTAATGGTTGACATCTGAACAAAGGGCCTTTAAGTCTCTGGTCTGTGTGTGTCTGTTGGAGTCCCTGGGTGGGTAGTATATATGGTTGGCAAGCTGGGCTGCTAACAACAGGTTGAAGGTTCTAGTTCTCTAATCCAGAGGAGCCTCAGAAAGGCCTGGAAATCTGCATTTGGAAAATCCACCACTGAAAACCTATGCAGCTCCATTCTACTCTAAATCCACATGACAGTCACTGGTCAAACTCACGTTAAATGAGACTGCAGATTCCAAACAGAGAACAATGTCTACTGTGATTGTCTGAGAGAAAGAAACACCAGGCCCAACCCTCAGTTCAGCCCCACTCTGAATTTCTTCATCTAGACAAGAACGTATTCTTTCAAGTCTGATGTTCCCATGTAGGCAGGGATGGAGTTGGGCACGGATGTTGGAACACACTGGCTTTCACAGTGGGACCTCAGCTTGAGGCGGCATGAGGAATACTTGGAGTAAACAGGAAGTTCACCCACTAGAAAAAACGCCACAGACCCGTGGATGAGCAGTGTGCATGATGACTTATAATTAGACATGATTCGCTGAAGGGAGCAGAGGGAGCCAGTGGGGAAAGACTGCGCTGGTCTCCTGAGAAGACAGATTCCCAGGCTGCCCCCCATCACCCCATTAACTCTGTGAGTGAAGCAGCAGGCCTAGAACCCCCAGATTTGGTGAGTAGGAACTCCCGCTGTTGAAGAGGCGAGTCAGAGAACAGAGGGACGGACTGGTACTGAGCCCACACACCTGGCCTAGACTGACTCTCCCGGGCTCCCCGACAACCCATGATAGTGTATCTGGGGGCTGCTTCTTTCTCAGGGTGGGACCCCAGGACCCCAAGCACTCAAGGAAGGAAGGACTAAATGGGTGTCTTTCATCTTGGCCTCTCAGAAGACACTTGGCGGTGATGGTGTGGACTGCAGTGGCTTCCTGTGTGCTGGAGGGCGCTCCGCCAGGGCATACAGGAAGCCGCCCAGGCTGCCGACTGCCATGGCGGTGTTGTGGGCAGAACAGCCACCTGGGGAGACAGAGTGTCCCCTGAGTGATGAGGCAGTAGCCCGGCCCCTCATTGAACACAGTTCCTTTGTAACCAACACTGCAGCCAACATGGGGGGACTGTGCAACTGTGGTTGGTGTTCCTCAGAGTCCCTTTCCCAGGCCTGGCACCCACCTTCTGGCTGCTGGGGGTGCCGGCTGCTCATGGCTCTCTTCTCCAGACCACAGTCTTCAGCCCTTCACAGCCTCCTCCCTTCAGAGGTTTTGCCCCTCCCCAATGGCTGCCACCCACCCATCTGTCAGTGTGTCATACTGTGGTGGCTTGTGTGTTATTATAATGCCGGAAGTTATGCCACTGGTGTTTCCAGTACCAGGGTCACCCACAGTGGACAGGTTTCAATGGAGCATCCAGATTAAGACTAGGAAGAAAGGCCTGGTGAGCTACTTCTCAAGCAGTCAGTGGAAACCCTATGGATTATAATGGTGTCCACTTTGTAACCGATCATGGGAGGGATGCAGGACTGGGCAATGTCCAGCTCCTTGTGCCTGGGGTCGCCATAAGTCGGGCCGGCTGGACAGCGGCTTCTTACAGCTTCTCTTCCCTCTGTCTTCTAAACGTGACCTTTCAGTTGGCAGCAGAGCACTTTAGCCACAGCGCCACCAGGGCCCCTACTGCCTTGCCAGGGCACCTCCATTTCTTGACACAGAAGCCCCTCGGTATTCTCATTACCTGGAAATACTTTTTCTCGCCTCTTCACTCTTGTCAGAAACTGCTGGTGGTGTTGAGCGGCTTTCGAGAACTCATTGTCTTCAGGAGCTGAGGGCGGGGAACAGGGACACGAATCTGAGGTCAACTTCTCAAGAGGGACTTTCAGACTCACTGAACCTCCCTGCACCTCCTAGAAGCATCTCAAACCACTCAGGGCTCCTCCTGTAACCAGCGGGTTTTCTGGAACTTTCCACCTTGTCTACCAGGGTGCTCTCCTGATGGCTTTTCACATCATGACTCCCCACAACCCCCATCAGGACCCTCGGAGGCCCCTCGGCCTCGGCCCCTGACCTGATGAATCTCGAGGGCCTGGGACCTGGGCATCTGCATTGTATAACACCCTCTGATTTAAAACAGATTCTTATTTCAAAAGCTCTGCTACTTTGAGCATCTGAGTTGCTCATGTAGGAGTCACTGGGAGCTTCCTTCGGTGATGAAAAAGGGTAAAGACCTCAGCTGATAACTGGACAGGTAGAGGTTAGAGTTCACCCAGAAGTGCCTCGCAAGAAACTACTGGCGATCTACATCTGCAAAATCAGCCTTGGAAAACTCTATGAAGTGTGGTTCTAGTCTGTCTTGCATGGGGGCGCTATTCGAAGGTAGCAACTGGTCACTGGTTTTCTCCTGCACTTGGACTGGGTGGTTTCATAAGCATCCTGTCTGCTCAGGAAAGTGGATATTTACGATGCTCATTTATTTATGTTGTTAAGTGTCGTGGAGTTGGCTCTGACTCATAGACACCCTGTATAGGGTTTCTGAGGAGCGACTGGTGGATTTGAACCACCGACTTTGTGGTTAGCAGTCCAGTGCTGACCCTATACCACTGCCCTAGGATCCCTCTGTCTACATCTCTGTAAACATGTCACTTCCCCAGACAGCTTCCCTGACTATTCCATCTAAGGAGTCTTCTTCCCAAATCTTACCAGAAACTGCAGTTGTTTTATTTGGGGGTCTCTGAAGGTCCTTCCTCAGGGTCCTGTTTCCCTCTGCTGGCCTTGTTTCCCACTATGTCTCCAGAGCCTTAGACAGTGCTTGGTACACCGTAGGGACAGCAGACATTCAGTGAATGGATGCCTTTGCTAATGCAGGCCCTGGTGTAGCACTGTAGGATAAGCACTGGACTGAAAGGTTGGTTTGAAACACAAGGTCAGTGGTTCAAACTCACCAGCTAGCTGCTCCTTGGAAACCCTATAGAGGGTCACTATGAGTCAGAACCAACTCGATGGCACTTAACAACAATGCAGATCCTGAAGAGTAAACGTCTTCCAAGGATATAGAGTCCTGGTGTGGCGCGGTGGGAGAAAGCACTAGACCACGAAGTCTATTTGAACCATAAGAGCAGCAGTTCAAACTCACCAGCTGCTCCTTGGAAACCCTATACAGGGTCACTGTGAGTCGGAACCAACAAGATGGTACTTAGCAACAACAAGAAGGAGATAGCAACTCACCTGGTTTAGTCTTGGCTTCCAAAGCTCCCAGTGCACGCCTGTGTGTGTGTGTGTGTGTGTGTGTGCGCGCGCACATACTTCCCAACGCTCTCTCCACACCCCTAACACACTGTATCCTTCCCCACCAAGCCTAGACAGGGCAGCCCCCCCGCTCTGCTTCCCAAGCCCCCTGCTCACCAGGTTTCCCAAAGTCCCTGCTCCGCTCAGGGCAGCCCCCACTGCTCACCAGGTTTCCCAAAGCACCCTTCTCTCTGCTTCTGCCATCTGAGGATGGCCTCCAGCCACGGGAACTTGTAGAAGTCAACGAATCCACCAAATCCACAGAGCATGACTGGAAGGAAAGACCAGGGACCTCTGCAGGACTACCTCCCTGGGTTCACCTTCTGCCCAAGACCACCACAGGGCCATCCACCTCCTCCTTCAGGGACCAGGTAGTGCAGGCCGGGGGACACCTAGCACAATGGCTGGAAGGGGCAGCCAGCCCAAAGCTCTGCCTTCGTGACAAGCAGGCTCCTGGAGTCACACTCTGCCACTACTTAGGGCCTCGGTCACAGCTGCCCAATAGCTGGGGTCAATAAAGGGATTTAGACACCCAGGCCAAGGATATAAGGCTATTTCAGATATTGTGTGGGGCCTACTTATACCCCTAAATGATGTGTTGCTTATCTGCAACTCCGATTTAATGAGTATTAAACCTAGAGTCCTGCTCTCAGCCTCCTCTCAAAGGTTTCTATAGTCTGTCAGTCAGCTGATTGGTCCGTTTATTCAGGGCCTTGTCCCTAGGCCAGTCTCCTGGGGACAGGCAGCCTCTGTTAAAATACAGGTCTATTAAAATACAGGCCACCCAATGAAAGCTGAGCTTCAGGTGAACCATGGATCATGTCAAACCTGTGAGAGTCGGAACGTGTCAGAGAAGGAAAATAAATTTTTTCCAGTAAAATGAGCAATAGAAAGTGGTGAGATGGCAGAAACCGTGTCAAAGGCAGACAACTGGCAGGACCCAGAAAACAAGGCAGTTGCCTCGGGCATCGGCTCTCCCGGTTCCCCTTGTGTAAGTATTTGGATGTTAAGTTCCATCAAGTCGGTCCTGACTCATAGTGACCCTGTGTAGAGTTTCCAGGGAGCAGCTGGTGGGCTTGAACTGCTAACCCCATAGTTAGCAGTCCACTGCTTATCCTACAGCGCTACACCAAGACTCCAGTATATCCTGTGCAATATTTGGGCTATACTTAAACTAAAAAAAATTTTTTGTGGTTTGTCTGGAACTCAAATTCAACTGGGAATCTGGAGAGTTTTATTTGCTGTGTCTGGAAAGTGCACTTATATGTGTATGTGCGTGTGTGTGCATGTTTGTGTGTGTGCCTTGTGTGCATGTTTGTGTGTGCCTTGTGTGCACACGTGTGTGTTCTTGTGTGTGTGTGTGTGTGCACACCCCCAAATCAGGGAGGCCCTGGTGTTTGTGGGAGAGGGAGCACGTGCATACTGTTTTCCATGAAGAGGTCCTGGGTAGGGTAGGGGTATCTGGCGACCTCCACTCTCTGGTTCAGATTCATCATGTTGGCGCAGAAGAGGTCCATGTAGTGCTGGTTCTGCTGGAACGGTCCCTTTGTGCATCCGATCTGCGGACAAACATCCAGAGACCAGGAAGTCAGAACCCACGACCCTCACTGCACTTCTGAGGTGGTCTGTGGTGGCTGCATGGGGGGCAGGCTTCCCCTTTTCCTTGGGATTTCTTCCTCCAAGTTTGTTTGGGCCTCATCCCAGGAGAACCACTCTGGGTCATAGGGAGCTGAGTTCAAGTCCTGCTTCTGCCACTCATTAGCTAGATGACCTTGGCCAGCTGAGCCTGGGATGAGGGGAGCTCTTCATCTCAAATGGCAGTGCCGGTGATGGGCTTAGCTAGGGGATGTCTTGTGTGGGTGGATGACGCTCGACATGGGATGCGTTCAAAAACCAATAGTTGCCATGATGGATTCTGATTCGAGACTAATCCTTCAGCGCCACTCAGGGTGTGGTTGAGGCCTGGGGCCGCTCCTGAGCTTGTGATACCAGAAAGTCACCGGTTGAGAAAGTTCTAAATGACGCCTGTCAGAGATATTTTCTCTCTGTTGAATCTAATCATAAATCACTTTCCTTATTATCCAGTCTTATTGACCACGGTGGCTCCATATGATGAACACTGGACTGAAAACCATAGGTCTGCGGTTCAAGCCCGCCGGAAGCCCCATGGGAGAAAGATGAGGCTTTCTGTTCCCACAAAGATTTAAACCACAGAAACCCTCCACAGGATCGCTCTGCTTTGGAACTGACTTGATGGCACTTACCAACAACAACGTTGTACTTTACAAAAATACTGGTCTGGGATTGTTGTTTTAAGTGCCATTGAGTCGGTTCTAGCCCATAACGACCCTGTGTAGGGTTTCTGAGGAGTGGCTGGTGAATTTGGACTGCTGACCTTGCAGATCTGTGGAAGTTTGAGAATAAATCATAATACACTGTGAAACCCAAACAGCAAGTTGTTTGTCTGCTAAGAATTTCTGGACACCAGATAACAAGTTTTGTAGCAGGATAATGAACCCTACCTCTTTCGTATATTAGTACAATAATTGATGAGGGCCAGTCAAAAAGAACTTCTACAAAACTGTGAAACAAATATCAAAATGGGAAGCTATTGTTTCTCGACAGATCCTATGCACTTCCGACGGTGGTGGTTTCATGTCTCTAACCCTTCCCTGAAGAATTCTGTGCTTTCTGATTTTAACTACATAAAAACAGCAGGTTTGGCATTCTTGAGGGACTCAAATTTTGTTCCTTTTCAATGTTCTTTGAATTGGGGGAACAAAAAAAAAAAATGTCTGAAGGGGTAAGATTAGGGCTGGAGGATGAATGGGGTCAGGTTTTCCAATAAAATTCTTGTAGGACAACTCTTGCTACCTTTGAAGAATTAAGCAGGTGCATTGTTGTCATGGGAAAAATCCCTTGGCAAAACTTTCCAGGTCTTTTTCTCACCAATGTAATCTTCCATTTTGTTTTAAAACTTCTTATAAGAAGACTCTGTGATAGTCCCGTGTCCTTCAAGGAAATTCTGCCAGTATGACTCCTTTGAGATCCCAAGAAACAGTTGCCATAGGCTTCTAAGCTGACCTCTCTGCCTTGAATTCAGATCCCCTAGGAAGCCACTGTTTGGATTGGACTTTTTTTTTTTTTTTGAAGAGACCCTAACGCAAGGTGTATACAAGTCCATTCAAAGAGAACTTGTCTGCACTCATCCATCGATTGCACAGAAAGTTGAAACACATTTTGTTTGGAATAAATCTGTGCATGCATGAGCTGGAACCTTAGTAGCAATAGTTTTTGACTTACCCTTTTCTATTTAAGAAATCGCTATTATTATTTAGCAAAGTTGAGTTCTTGAAAGGTCAGTAGGATAGTAAGTCTTGGGAACTCTATGGGGCTATTCTGTTCTGCTCGGTAGCATTGCTATGAGTCAGGAAAACAAAAGGCAATAAAAACATTCAGAAAGCCAAACTCCTTGCCTTTTGTTTTACTGACACCCTGAGATGTAGTTCCGCATGTAAAGTTTTCTATTCGGTTTGCTGGTCAACAGAATCCCCAGTATGTCCCCATAACAGCACGGTTTAATTACAGGCAGATCTGTGGCCTGTCTTCCTCTTCCCTCCCTCCTGATGTCTGAAACACAAATCCAAAATGGCGTTCATTACTCTGTTGCATACCACCCAAAACCGCTCTGTCATTAAACCAATGCTGACCCGTGGTGAGTCCGTGTTTTAGATAGAGCTGTGTTACAGTCAGGTTTTCAGTGGTGATATTTTGGAAGTAGATCATTAGACCTTTTTTCCAAGGTGCCTCTGGTTGGATTTGAACCTCCAACCTTTCAGTTAGCAGCCAAACATGTTACGTATGTGTGCCACCTGGGGATTCCATACTGCAATTAACCTGTTACCATCATATTGATTCCTACTCATGCAGTAGAACTGCCCCTTCGGGTTTTCTAGGCTGTAATCTTTATAAAAGCAGATCGCCAAATCTTTCTCCCTTGGAGCACTTGGTAGGTTGAAATTATTGACTTTTTGTTAGGTGCCATGGAGTTGGTTCTGATTCATAACAATCGTATGCACAACAGAATCAAATACTGCCCGGCCCTGCAGCCTCCTCACAATTATTGTTATATTTGAATCTATTGCTGCCGCCACTGTGTCCATCTCAGTGGGGTCTTCCTGGTTTTTGCTGACCCTCTACTTTACCAAGCGTGGTGTATTCTCTAGGGACTGGTCCCTCCTGACAACATGTCCAAAGGATGAGGCAGAGTCTCGCCATCCTCACTACTGAGAAACGTTCTGGCTGTACTTTTGATTGGTAGCTGGACCCTAATGCCGTCAGGTCCTCTGAGCCTGTCCCTTTCCTCCACAGGTCATGGCCGCCCCACACTCACCATCCTGGCAAAAAGAAAGTAAATCAGCTGGTGGGACAGGCTGTAGCCTGAGCAGCCAGTCCTGGTCATCAGAGTCCTGCAGAAGTCTGGGAGTCTGCAGGGCTGACTGCCATCCATCCTGGAGGAAGAGATGCCTTTCTGTCAAAGGGGAAATGGTTGAGGAATGTGAGGGAATGGAGCTGCCCCAGACCCCCTGCACCTGCCCTGGGTGTGAGCCTCTGCTTGGCATCCGGCCTCTAATTGATGCCATGCACGGGGGTGGCTTCAGGAAGGATGCTAGATGAAGTACGTGTGTGTGTATGTGTGTGTGTGTGTTTGTGTGTGTGTGTGTGTGTGTGTAGGGGCCACAGCTCAGACAGGGGGGTGGTGTATCTGTGTGTGTGTATGTGTGTATGTGTGTATGAAGGGGTTTCAAATAGTTTGTAGAAAATGCAATGAAAAGATAATGGGATTTTCCCATGAACATTTTGAAACCCCCTCATGTGTATGTGTACCAGTGTGTGAGGTAAGTGTGCAAGTGAGTATATGTGGTATGAGTGTGACATGTGAGTGTATGTGTGTTAGGGAGTGTGTGTGGTATATGTGGGGTGTGTGAATGAGTGCGAGTGTTTTGTGTGAGTGTGTGGGGTGAGTGTGAGTGTGGTTTGTGCAAATGTGTGTGTGTGTGTGTGTGAGGGGTGAGTGTATGAGTGTGGTGAGTGTGTATGTGGTGTGACTTTGCATAGGTGTAGGTGGTTGCATGTAAGCGTGTGTGGTTGTGTGTTTATAGTGAGTTTCAGTGTATGACTCAGTGTGTGTATGGTGTGACTCCATATAGGTGTATGTGGTTGTGTGTGTGAGTGTGTGTAGGGGTGTGTGTGAGTGTATGACTGTGTATATGGTGTGACTGTGTAGGTGTATGTGGTTGTGTGTGTGAGTGTGTGGGTGTGTGTGAGTGTATGAGCGTGGTGTGTATATGGTGTGACTATCCACAGGTGTAGGTTGCATGTGAGTATGTGTGGTTGTGTGTGCAGTGTGTGTGTAGTGTGTTCAAGTGTATGATTGAGTATGTGTATGGTGTGACTTTGTGTAGGTGTATGTGGTTTCATATGAGTGTGTGTGGTATGTGTAGTGTGAGTGTGTGTAATGTGACTGTGTAGGTGTGTGTGGTTGCATGTGAGTGTGTGTGGTTGTGTGTGGTATGTGTGAGTGTGTATGACTGTGTGTGTATGGTGTGACTTTGTGTAGGTGTATGTGGTTGCATGTGAGTGTGTGTTTGTGTGTGTTGTATGTGTGAGTGTGTGTATGGTGTGACTGTATAGGTGTATGTGGTTGCATGTGAGTGTGTGTGGTTGTGTGTGTGGTGTGTGTGAGTGTGTGACTGAGTGTGTGTATGGTGTGACTGTGTAGGTGTATGTGGTTGTGTGTGTGTGTGGTTGTGTGTGTGGTATGTGTGAATGTGTGTATGGTGTGACTACATAGGTGTATGTAGTTGCATGTGAGTGTGTGTGGTTGTGTGTGTGGTATGTGTAGTGTGAGTGTATGTAATGTGACTCTGCGTAGGTGTATGTGGTTGCATATGAGTGTGTGGTTGTGTGTGTGGTATGAGTGTGTATGACTGAGTGTGTGTATGGTGTGACTGTGTAGGTGTATGTGGTTGTGTGTGAGTGTGTGTGTGTGTGGGCAGAGGCAGCAGCTCAGACAAGGGCTTGAGGTGTAAGGGAGTTTTTAAGAACGTGAAGGGAGGGCTCAGGAGAGGGATAGGGTCCTGGCAGTGCTGAGAGAGCAGCAGGAATAGGGGCAGTGGTTGGAGTGTGGCATCCTTGGCGGGATCGGACGTGGAGACCACTCAGGGGCGTGACTGAAATCCACTGGGTGGTGGGCATGGGAGAGGCAGGCTGGCTGCCAGGGTGCTTGATTATCTGGGGAAAGCTGGGAGAAGGAGGTGCCGGAGACTCCTGTAGGGCTGGGCCTGGCTTTGTACAGACTCTTAGGTTCAGCCATGAGGACCTGCAGCCTCCCAGGAACCCCAGGAGAACATCTGGGGTGTTCAGGAAGCAGGGTCAGTCAAACCCACCCGGTCCCCAGCAGCTGCACCAGGCAGTGGTCACTGTGGTTCTCGGAGAAGGCGTCTTCGGTCTCAAACGTCGGATAGACCATGGAGGCGTTGGTGCGGGTCCAGGAGTGCGGAAGTTTCCAGAACCCTGGCTGGATGATTGGCTGGAACTCTGGTAGGAGGTAGGGGTGGTCACCAAATGTCCAGGATAAGAAATTTGTATGTACTGAGTGAGGGGCTTCCTTAATTAAAGACCAGGCCTGGGAGGAAGAGCCGGCATGGGGCCAATCAGAGCCCCAAGCTGCCTCTGGGACAGCCCATAGCTTTGCAACACTGGAAATTTAAGCAGCTAGGATCACCACCTAATCTGTCTTGTACTCACTGCTATCGTGTGGTGTTGGCCATTGAATGAATTCTGACTCATAGCGACCCTAGAGCTCCTAGGGTTTCCAAGGCTGTTAGTCTTTATCGAGCCTGATCTCCAGGTCTTTCTCCCATGGAACCACTGGTGGGTTCGAACTTCCAACCTTGTGGTGAGCAGCTGACTGTTTAACCATTGTGCCACCAGGGTGCTAACTTTGACTAAATTCAGTTTCCCATGGAAGCTTGAGATACTTAAAAAGGATTAGTAGGCTTTCTTGCTTTTGGGATCTCTAGTGGGGGCAGGGGTTAGGGTTAGTGGTGGGGGTTGGTGGTGTAGATAGTTCACACACTCAGTTGCTAACCAGAAGGTTGGGGGTTCAAGTCCCTTCAGAGGTGCCTCAGAAGAAGGACCTGGTGTTATATACTTCAAAAAGAAAAATAGCTACTATAAAATTATTATGGAACATAGCTCTACTCTGACACACATGGGGTCACCAAGAGTCAACTCAAGGGCAACTGGTTGACTCCCAACCTGGAAAGAACCTAAGCCTGGGCTATAAAATGGGGCCTGTTTTGGAGTCACCGCAGTCTGGCAAGGAGAGAGAACTCGAGCTCTATAGGATCCAAGAGATGTGTTAGCAAGATGCTGGTCTTTGTAGTGCAAATGGTTATGTTACCTTCTGGGACTGACCGCTGGTCTGGAGGTGAGCTGACTACAGGAGGCAGACACTGCCAGCTCTCCAGCCCCTCCGAGTGGGCAGGAGGGGCCATCTCACCTGGAGTCAGACCTGCCCCGTGGTCTGCTTGTGGTTCGAGGGGTAGACCCTCCCCTGATCCTGAGGAGCCTGCTCTAGGTTATTCCAGTAAACACCCCAGACGCCACATTCCTGAAGAGGTGGGACTCCAACAGGGCAGTTACCTTGTAGGTAGGTGGGGTCACTCAGCTTCAGGTAGGAGGTGGATCTGTGAAGGAGGGTCAGCAGCTTCTGGGCCAGCCTTCCCACACGCAGATTCAGCAGCTGCAGCTGGGGCTCCCCGGCCCACACCTTGTGAACACCTCTGAGTTGCACTGAGAAAACACATGGTGGGGTTCATTCCATCAGATGTGCAGGAAGGGAAAGTACAGCGTTCTGCTGCTTCCTGGGATCGCTGAATTGTGTCTCCCAAGAAAGCTAAGTCCAAGGCCTAACCCACAGTACCCATGCACACAATCTCATGGATTGAACTGTGTTCCCCACCCCACCTTCCAAAATAGATGTTGTAAATGGGGAACCATGGGGAGGGAGTGGGGCAACTACTGTTTCACTGGGAGTTGGTGGGGGGTGGGGGGTTTGTCATCATTGAGATGAAACAAAGCGTGTGATTTGCTGAATGTAAAACTGACGATCTTGTCTGTAAACCTTCACTCAATTCACAATAAAAAGTAAAAAACAAAAAAAGAAAAGAACATAGCTTGGGCCAGGTGTACCTTAGCCCTCAAATGGATCCCTTTGCTTTAAAAGAGCTCTCACGTAGCAGCTTAATGCATCATTTGATTTCTTGACTGCAACTTCCATGGACGTTGATTGTGGATCCAAGGAAAATGAAGTCTTTGATAACCTCAGTCTTTTCTCCATTTATTGTGATGTTATTTATCGGTCCAGTTGTGAGGAATTTTGTTTTCTTTACGTTGAGGGGCCATCCATACTGAAGGCTGGTAGACTTTGATCTTTGGCTTCCAGCAAGCAAGGTTGTATATCATCTGCATATCGCAGGTTGTTAATAAGTCTTCCTCCAATCCTGATGCCTTGTTCTTCTTCATATGATCAAATTTTTGGGATTGTTGGCTCAGCACACAGATTGAATAAGTATGGTGCAAGGATACAAGCCTGGTGCACACCTTTCCTGATTTTAAACCATTCAGTGTTCCCTTTATTTGAGCAACTGCCTCTTGATCTGTATATAGGCTCCTCATGAGCACAATTAAATGTTCTGGAATAAGTGTTCTTTGCAATGTTATCCATAGTTTTTCAGGATCCACATAGTCAAAAGCCTTTTCATAGTCAATATAGCATAATCAAATATCAAAAACAACAAAGAAGCCCCTCAAAGTATGTATTGTACCAGAGAAGAATGCATGCCTTAATACAAGGAACCACGTGAGACCACAAAGGCCGCACTAACCCAAAAAGAAAGCTCAGAAGATGAAAAGGAAAGGGGTAAGAAAGAGGAACGAATGGAAATGGGAAATCCGAGAAGAACAACCCTGTTACATGGTGGGGACTACATGGAATGTCACAAAAGATTCAGCATTGTTTCGACTTCCAAGTTTTGCTATCGGTATTAATTAGGGTGACTCGGGGTTTGTGCCACATGGACAATGGTGTTTCTGGGTGGCACAGCGGTCTGGCACTCTGCTGCTGACTGAAAGGTTATCCAGAGGTGTCACCCCACCCCCCTATCAGCCACTGAAAACCCTGTGAGGCACAGTTCTACTCTGACGAACACACACGGGGTCGTCATGAGTTGGAACCAACTCCATGGCAACTAACAGCATCATGAACAGAAATAGGGAGGGAGGGGCAGAGATTACAGAGTGGAGAGCCACCATGTATAGGTGGTCAGGTGGCACACTGCACAAAGGCACCATGCATTCTTATATGATACGATTCTTATTTGGTCTATGAACCACAAAGTCGGCAGTTTGAGCCCACTGCTGCTCTGTGGGAGAAAGATGAGGCTTGCTTGTCCCCCAAAGATTTAAAGCCTCGGAAACTATACAGGATTGCTGTGAGTCGAAACCTACCCCACCGTACTTAACCACCACATTTCTTATCATGGGTTTGTATATATACTAAGACATCTGCTACACA